CCCCCCTTATAAATTTATAGCAACAACCTTTCCCTCATAAGCAATACCATCCGTATCGGAGGATACCAATCGTTAGTAAGAGATTTAGAGGGGATTTTAAACGTCTTCCAGGGCTTTTTAAGCAATCTGTTTAAAAGATTAATTTTATTTTGAAGGGATAGAACTGCATCTCTCGGAACAAAAAGTTAATTAGGACCAGAGTACCAAAATGCCATTTTTCATCCCGGTCTGTGACTTGCGGTTAGGTGCTTGACCTCCCGAAATCAGAAACTCGCTGAATCTCTCTCCCTTGGCCGATTTTGACTTTCCCAGCAGCAAGTCCTGAGCGCCAGAAGCTGGTTTGCAGGATCCCAATCCCAGCCTCTCCGAGCAGAGCTTAGAGGAGCAGGAAATCCAGCCCAGGCAGGCACGGCCATGCCGTGCTGCTCCTCTTTTAACTAAAGCTCGTGGAGCCGGGACAGAGAGCCCAGCTGTGCGACAAGGAAGGCTGGGAGCTGTCTGGAGCGTCTGAAACGAGGTCTTGCCCTGAAATCCATCTGCTTTGTTGTTTTTTTGGGGGTTTTTTTTGTGGGTCTACCTTGTGCAATGCAATTATAGGGGTCACTCCTTGGGGAAAAAAAGCGGAGTTTCAAGGTGGCGTTGGGATCTGGATGATTTTTTCAGCCCCTTCCCCATGTCTCGGGGACCGGAGGCGATGCTGCCCGGCGGTGCCTGCTCCTTCCTTCATCCTGCACCTACCATGGAGGGGAGGAAAATCTGCAAAAGCAAAGCACGGTCTCACCTGGCAGCAACGCCAGACGCTGACAAAAGCAATTAGAAATTGTGTTTGACAGTCTATCCTCCCACTAATAAAACCTGGAAATGCCAGAGTGCCTTATTTGTCATGCTTGCTGATGCTCAGTGATGCCACTGCCAGCATCTGTAGCAGCTTGATTCTGAAGGATTTTAAAGTGCTTGGTACTATTTAACGGCCCTTATCTGAAGTGCCCTGTGGACTGAAGCTTCCCCTGTTACTGTCACCATAGCTGGGTTTTCCGTTTCGATCTCCAACCTCTGGGTAGGAGCTCAGGTCTGATGCTTGAACCAGCCGATCCCACCAGCTTTTGCCCCCTCCTTTGCACTCTTGTCCCCACGTCAGCACTGCTGAGGGGTGGGGAGGAGAAATTAATTTTCCTTGTGGTCCTGTGGCTCGTGGGACACGTCTGGGCTGGAGGGCTGAGGGCTCTCCCATCGCTGCCAGGGCCATACGGACCGCTCTGCTCCCCTTCCCCAACAATCTGGCAAGGAAGAGTTTCCTATCGGAGTCCGACAAGCCGGGCAATCTTTCCTTCTTGGTTGTGCAGGATTTGGGATGCCAAGATCGAGGTGGGGATCCCCTGGGGCTCACAGGGGCCAGGCTGGTTCACGCTCAGGTCCAGCATTTTGGAGAGCAGAAAAGAGGTTGCCAGTGGGGCAAGGACTGAGTTCATTTTCACCGGTTCCTCTGACAGCCTTTGCTTGGTCATATGTAGATGTTTCTGGCCATGCTAACACCAACTTTCATTCAGCTGCTTCTTTTTTTTCCTCCATCCTTCTTACGAGTACTTCAAAGAGGCGTTAAGAAGAAATTAACCTCTGATCCCCTGCCAAAAGCAATGAACCGTAAGACCAGGTTTGGTTCTTCCCTCTTAATGGAAATAATCCACTGGTCCTCGTGGCTGGAGACTGCTGGGACAGGACAACAGTCCCAGAGTGACATTGCTGACAACATGCCTATTTACTTTCAGGGTTAAGTAACACGTACCCTTATTGAGAATAAAAAAAACCCAAAAACAAAAAAAACAAAGTATTGCTGAGGAACAAGGAGGGAAGATAAAGCACCATCCCCTTCGTGTATCCAGAGCTTGAGTGTCAGAAGAGCTCCCCAGGCAAGAAACACTGAGCAAAAAGTGCACGTGGTCGGAAAGCAAAGGGACCGAAAGCACCATGGAAGTGCTGCTGCCCTTCTACAAATGCCACACGGCAACGATCAAACACGTCCTGCCTGCTCCGTAGCTTCGGGAGTCTGCACCGAGGGCGGGGAAGGAGGGGACCCCTCCTCCTCTTCCAGAAGTGGTTTGAGGGCCGAGCACCCGCCGCCTTCACACGAGGGTGGGAAACGGGCACGGCTCGTGCCCGTGCTCCAGCAGCACTGCCAGGGCTGTTGTATCCACGGGGATGATTTTAATTCCCTTTAAACATCAGGGTTTGGGCTGTGAGGGAAGCGGCTGGGTAAGCTTTCACCTGCAGTAATTAGAGTCAAAATGATAACGAGGAGATAAGGGTGAAAGTCCCCTCTCTCCGTCACCTGAACCCTGGATGCAAGTCCTGCTGGTAGCGTTACCATCCTCTGTCTTGACTGGAGCGGAGGATGTTTGGGCACCTCCGGAGCAGAGAGGGGAATTTTGTCCGTAGGCACTTCTGAGCCGGGGGGGTAGAGATGCTGCTCCGCGGGGCCTCTCCCGCTGCCTCCGCTTCGGGCACCTGCAGGAGGTTCCTCCTCATCCTCCCGGCCAGCGGCGAGTTGGCGGAGCCGCTCCTCGAGCCAGGGCGCTCGCAGGAAGTGGAGGGGCTTCACCCCATTGCACCGTATCAGGAGGAGAGGGAAAACGGGACACAGCATGGAAAAGAGATGCAAGGAGAGAAAAAAAAAACAACCCTGAAGGGTGCCCTGGCCAACGCCAGAGCCCAGACTGCACCATCCCTGCTGAGCATCCTTCCTCTCCCGCTACCCAACCGTGCTGGGTGGGAGCAGGAGCATCCCAGCACCAGCCTGGTAGGGCAGAACACCCTGCCAGGGCACCTCCTGGCTCTCCCTTTCCAAATCTAATGAACGAGGCAGCTCTCAAAGCCCTTCTACATGTCCCAAAGACACTGGCCGGTCCTAGAGGTGGAGCTCAGGGGGTGGCTCTGCCGACGACAGACGCGCAGGACAGGGCTGCAGCTCCAGCGAAGGTGGAAATCAGCCCTTCCAGGAAAAAGAGGAGAAAAATTGGGAAATCGGCTTGCGTCTTTTCCTACCTAAATCCAATATCCAAGTCGGTAAGACACGTGTTGGTTAACACATTTCTACATGTGTGCTCCTTTTACCGGAGCCCATGAGAAGAACCTGAAACCACGACTCCTCCCTGTATGTTTTGTTTTCATTTGTTCTGCAACTGAATAAGTTAACAAAAGGACATCAGAGCGATTCTCTCAATTTGGCTTATTAAAAAACGAAAAAAAAAGAAAAAAAAGAAAATAGTCTGGGTGTGAACCTTCTCTCTCAGGCTTCAGGATTTACCGTCACTTTATAAACTCCTGAAAATAGGAGCTTATAACAGGCGACTCCTGACACCACCTTCACAAGAAGTGCTGCCTATCTTCCCCAGGATTGTTTAACAAGGACCATTTTGTCATCGGGGGTAGGTTTCGTGAATACTATACAGGCGAATAAAAAAATACATATATTCTCTTTGAACAAGAATCCCAAGTCCGGGCATGTGGAAGGCTGCGGTGCGGGAGGTCCCCCAGTCCCTCAGGAGTGATGGCTGTTGATCAGGCTGCGGAGCTGCTTGGCCACGGTGTCTATCAGCTTCTGCTTGTCCCTCTCGTTTTTCCGAAACTGGGCAAAAACGTTGTTTTTTCTGCTTGTGTCTCTCATCCTGCGCAGAGCAGAAAGAGGTTATGGCACAGGTATCGCCGCTCAACGCTGCACCCAAGCCCCATGAAGGAATCGCGTGTAAAGTGCCCGTGTTCAGGCTCTGACAGAGGAGGTGACTCAGTCTAAAGGTTCCACCCCCATTTTTATCACGTGTTTGTGTCCAGATGGGCAGAGCAAGCATTATAACAGTTTGCATTTTTGCTTTAAACCCCGCAGACCCCAATCAATGCCACCGTAGGGCCTGGCTCCAACGCCAAAACCGCACAAACCCTTAAAGCCTCTTGTCCTCCCCTTCCAAACAGCTTTTGCTACGTTCCCATGTCACCTTCTGAAGTGGCAAATGGCCACGCTGTAGCATTAGGAGGAAATGAAAAAATTAACATCCGATCCACAGCATTAAGGCTTCGTATTGGAAACGGTGCATTGCATGCGGCCAAGAGATGCAGCTTTCGTGGCAGCCAGGGTGGTTCAGAGTTGTGAATTTCAAATATTCTATTATATAATTTATATTAAAGGAAGGAATCCAGCACTGGCTCCCTCAATTTAAAAACCTTGAGAATTGTAATTTTTTAAAAATTACATTTAAAAGTCTTGAGAATTGTGATCTTTGAAAATTACATTTAAAAACCTTGAGAATGGTGATCTTTAAAAATTACATGTAAAAACCTGGAGAATCGTAGTTTTTTAAAATTACATTTAGAAGTCTTGAGAATTGTAATCTTTAAAAATCACATTTAAAAACCTTGAGAACTGTAGGTTTTAAAAATCACATTTAAAAACCTTGAGAATTGTAATCTTTAAAAATTACATTTCAAAACCTTGAGAACTGTAGTTTTTAAAAATTACGTTTAAAAATCTTGAGAATTGTAACTTTAAAAAATTACATTTCAAAAACTTGAGTATTGCAATTTTTTTCAAATCACATTTTAAAACCTTGAGAACTGTAATCTTTAAAAATTACATCTAAAAACCTTGAGAACTGTAGTTTTTAAAAATTACGTTTAAACATCTTGAGAATTGTAACTTTAAAAAATTACACTGAATACATGAAATAGAACTTTGGTCTCCACAAGGTTTCCAAAAAAGCCAGAGAGAAGAAGAGCAGGTGGTGGGATGGGACCTGAAGGCGAAGATGGTGCAGCTCCATCTCCCTCCCCATGCAAAGCTGGGGGGTCATGCACGCTTGCATTCACAGATGATTTTTTTTTTTTTTTTTTTTTTTTTGGACAGGTCTCGTTGCATGGTCCAAGCGTGAGCTTTTACGCAGGCAGGGCATGTGCTGGGAAAGGAAAACACCTCAGAAGGGTCGAAGCCTCCAACAGCTCCGTGAGGTATCAGCCTCAACATCCAACCCGCTGGGTCTCAGCCGGCACCGCATTTTGGAATACCACAATTTGTAAATGATTTTCTCGGTAAATCAGATCTGGCAGAGGCTGATGGCTTTGGATGAGTCACATAAGCCTGTGTTTTCAGCTTCGGGGACCTAAATGAAGCATTAAAGTGGCTGGGACACAGCGCTGAGACCCTGGGAAACTGGAACTTCATCAAACCAGGGGGTTTTTGAGTGAACCGAGCACAAATCAAACCTCTTGAAAACTTATTTAACCAATTAAAAAAAAAAAAAAATCTAAGTTTTTTCATGCTTCAGTCTTCCTGAAAAGAGCCAAAGGGAATCTGAAATGTTCCCAAAAACATCCAGCTTGGAACTGGAAACAAGGATAACAACTTTATCCCAAAGGCTAATTTGCTAAAGTTATAAGTGCCCAAAGACACAGGATTACAATCGAGCTGCTTTCCCAGCAGTAACAAGATAGCTTGGAGGGCTTTTACTCAGCAAAATAAGTATTATTTTTTCCCTTTCTCTTTTTTTTTTTAACCGAAGCAGGTCGCCAGCTGCTCCGCCACGAGAAGCAGGGAGCGACGGTACCGCCGGGGAGCGGGTTTGAGTCGCGGGGGTTAGAGGCGTCGCGGTATCGTGAGTTTTGGAAATAACCAGCCTCCTGCAGGAGCCCAGAGGATCTCAAAGCATTTCACCAGGAGGGCTGAGAGCTCCGTTTTCTATTTCCTAGGCTATGTGGGGACATCAGAGGTGCTGAAAATAAACCTGTACCTTCAGAAACCTCCGCCCAGTGCTGTACCCATCACTCTCCATCACTGCCGGCTGCACCTACCCCCGGGGAACAGGCGGGGAATTTACAGCAGAGCATCCTTTGCCCTTCTCATTCTGGGCATCCTCGGAGCCATCTCAGTCTGTGGGACCTGTTCAGGTCCACGAAATGTTTCTGCATGTTGCGTGCAAGAAAACTTTTGCTTGTGTTTGAACAATTAGAAAGGAGTTGCCTGGCTAAAGCTACTGGCTCAGGATGAAAAAGCGGTCAGAGTACTGATCCCACAACAAACCCGCGTAGGTGGATCTGTTGAGCTGGGGACAAGTGTCTGGGAGGGATGGGAACTGCTGGTATCCCCAGGTATCATGTGAAGGTAGAGGCACTAAGCTGTTAAGTAGTATTAATTCATTAAGTCACCTAGAGGACACAAAATCCTGCCGAATTTGAGTTGTGCTGAGCCAGGGAGCGGGCAGCCTCGAGAAGCTGAGCTTGCTGAGGCTGGGAGGAGACCACACCAGCCCCGGTCCTGCCGTCACAGCCCTGCAGACAAACACCGAGCCGACATGATGTGCTCGGTGGCAAAATCATTCAGAAACGCCAGCCTGTTGTTTTTTTGTGGGTTTTTTTTTATTTATTTTTCCCAGCATTTAGCTATAGGAAGCACCCGGTCCCTGATCAAGCAGTGCATCCAGACACCAACAATATCAGCTTTGAAAGAGGCAGGCAATGCTTTCAAGCAGCTAAGCAGCTCTTTGGAGGATTGAAAATTTTATTTTCTTTAAGTGTATGCCTGCAGAGCCCTGGGCCAACCCAGCACAGTTTTGTAACGTGGTTCCTGTGCGTTAGCGCAAGAACTGAAAGTAAGAAGAAGGGAAAAAGAGAGCTCAGCGCTGTCCCCACCCCTGTCAACAAACACCACCTTCAAGAGAGCCAAGCTTTGTTTAAATTAATCTATAAGAAAAAAAAAAAAAGCAACAGAGTAAAAGCTCCTCTTTTAGCTCTAATTAGTGCATTTGAGACGATAAAGTTACCGGAGGGAACCGTTTCAAAGACAGCTTGCATTTAGATCATTTAGTGCTCCATTTAAATCAAACAATAAAGTCACTGCAAGGTGAGGGTAAAAGCCCAAGCAAGCAGCATACTTACACTCGTGATATCCTATGAGAGATGTGTGATTAGGAAAAGAGATAATGAGGAAAACAGGTTACCAAACGAACCAGCGGATCAGAATTTCACGTCGCCTTGTCGGCAAAGCTCGGTTGCCTACGGAGGGGGTTGGGGAGGTGGGCTTGGGGTGTGCCTGAAGCTGCAGCCAGGTCAGTGCAGAGGCTCAGGGGGAGTTGGAGCTGGTGGATGATGCACAGAGACTCCCCCCAAAGGGCCTGAAGCCCAAGCGGGGAGAGGGCAGAGCCCACCGGAGTATGCAGGCGATGCCACGCTATGAGGATGTGGGAGATGCAAGTGCCAACCCTGGGACTCCACGGGAGCTGCCTCAGGAAAGCAAACTGGATACATGAAGATTGCCCTTCAGATGAGATCCCTTGTGGGGAGAAGGCTGGCAAGCCAAGGTGGGGTTGGTGGATTTTTACAGAACCCCAGAATCACTCAGGTTGGAAAAGCCCCTCGGGATCACCGAGTCCAACCCTCAGCCCGACTCTGCAAAGTTCTCCCCTACCCCACATCCCCCACAGCTCATCCCAACGGCCCTGAAACCCCCCCAGGGATGGGGACTCCCCCCTCCCTGGGCAGCCTGTTCCACTCTCGGACCACTCTTGCTGGGAAACATTTTCTCCTCCTGCCCAGCCTGACCCTCCCCTGGGGCAGTTTCCAGCCGTTCCCTCTTGTCCTGTCCCTGATCCCCTGGGAGCAGAGCCCAGCCCCAGCCTCTCTGCAATGTCCTGTCAGGAGCTGCAGAGAGGGATGAGGGCTCCCCTCAGCCGCCTCCTCCTCAACCCCCCCGTCCCTGCTGGCCACACCAGTGCTGACACAAGCCAGGAGGCCGTTGGCTTTCTTGGCCACCC